CACACACACTCTCTCACACACACACACACACACACACACACACACACACACACACACACACACATATACACTGATGGATGGTGGTTTTTGATTATCTGCTAATAACCCCATGCTTGCCCCTGAATCTGACAGCCCTGCTTGCCTCCATTCTCCCTTTTGAGGGCCCTATGTAGGAGGGGTAGTGTAAGGATATGGGATTGTTTGGAGGGTTGTTTTAGTTGGTCGAGCACGGTGAAAAGAATGTGACGGAAGGATGAAGGTGGGGGACTTTAATAAAAAGAAAAAAAGAAAAAAAGAAAAAAGAAAAAAGAGAAAAGAAAAAAAGAGAAAAAGAAAAAAAAGGAGAAAAAGAAAAAAGAGAAAATTATGGAAAAGGAAAATATTTATAGGTGCAAATCGGAAATATTGGAATGAAAAGGCATTATGGGGATGTGTGACTTGATCGAACGGGTACCAGGTCTTTTCGTGTCCCTCTGGTTGTATACCCCACCGCTGTGTAAATGGGGGCTTCCCCTGTCGATGTGTTTTTGAGGCTCCATTGGACATGGGACGGTGAACTACTTTTTGCAATGACCGCCGCACGATATAAGCGTCCCTGTCGCCTGTTCTCCTCCTCTTTGTGGTGGTTGGCGTCTGGTCGGCAGAAGAGGATCTTGGGTCCGCTCCGTTTGCGCGCATACGGTGTGCCTCTGGGGTGGCCCGTGACCCCTTCTGATGTACGCCCGACGATTCCTCACTTTTCGTGGGATGAGTACTTGAGGATTCGGAGGTGATGCGATTGCTTAGTGCGCATGCTTCCTATCGGGCGGACCCTTCGTGCCCTGCGTCCTCACGATGTGGCATGTGCTCACGGTCCGGCGGTGGTTTCATCGTCCCTCGGTGTCGGCAATACGTAGGTGTATGGCGTGATTCGCACCTTGTGCCTCGTGATCAGGTGGAGGAGGTTGTGCAACAAGGAGATGCGTGTCATTGCGGTGTTCTCTGATTCGCCACCTGCCTTCACGGTACGGACGGCGTGCTGCGCTTCGACTACTGGGTGGTGCTGAGCTCTAGATTGGCGTGTGGTCTTTGTGTGGAGAGCGGAGGTATGAGACTGGCGCTTAGTGCCCTGTGCGATCGGGCTCTGAACAGGAGTGATTGAATGAGGGATGTTGGCGCCTCCATAGCTTCTTGCATTCGGCCGCCTTATTGCTAGTGAGGATCAGTTTGGTTATCGGGGAGGTACTGGTAAGGAGGACGTGTGGTCTTCGTGCGTGGTGATAGTACTCTGTTGAGGATCTCATCGCTCCTCTTGTTCCCAAGGCGTGGGAATCGGTGGTGGTGGTGTGCCCGCCTCGCTTCCGCTTCAGCAGGTTCATGGCGCCCGGCGTGGTAATGCATTGTATCTTTCATGCCCCACCTCCCACCCCCCACCCCCCTCCCCCCTTGTTGTATGATTTGTGCCACGCCCTTTCTATCCTGCTCCAAACCTTTCTCTATGGGATCTGGCCTATGCCTGAGATGATCCCTGTCCCTCTCGGTACGTTATGAGGGAGGTTTAGTCCTCTGAGGATCCGGTGGGGTGGAAACCGGTGAAAAGTACTTTAGGACAGATTCCACCACCCTCCTGTCATACGTTGGCACATCGGGGCCATCCGACTGATTGGGATTTCATTTTCTTCTTCGTTTTCTATCCCCTTGTCGCCCCTTTCCTTCCCCACTGTGTATTGATTGATTGCTAACGTGAGGTGCCCTTCCCTGCGTATTGGAAATGTATTGTACTCTGGTGTCTTGTTGTGGGTTGTTCTTTGCCGTGTTGTGATGGCTTCTTTCGTAGGCTTTATTGTGCGCATCATCTTTGAGATTCTAGAAGAGTTGATTGCTGGCTTCATACGACGATGGAGCTCTTGGCGTTTGCCCGTGTGGCCCTCATCTTTTTGCTTGCGTTCATGGCATACCTGGCCTTCTTAGCGTTTTTGGATCTACAAGTCATGCATTCAGCCCAGATCGGCGGAGGTTTTCGTAATTCATCGTCCCTGTTCTCCACGAGGTGGTGTAGAGCTTAGCGGCTACTCTGACGAACAGTAGTGGTGTTGTAGGATTAGCGTATCCTCACTTCGAAGTGGCAGTATGGCGGACTCTCGGTTTTCCCCGTTCTTACGCACCACTTCTTTTTGGGTTTCCCTCTTTTCCTCCATCACCATTTTTCTCCTCTCTCTTTGTGTGCTGTGCCGTGCTGCGTGGTTGGCTTGCCCCTTCACGGGGTCGGTCTGTCCATCGGGTCCTCCTCTTCCATGTGTGTTGAGCTTGTGTGGGTTAGCTTCTTACTAGCTCTCCAGGGTGGCGCGTTTTTGATGACTATTTGGGTAGTGATGCTACGGCAGTCCTCTCCCCCTGCTGTCTATATATTCCCACATGATTGCCCTGGTCCCCCGTGGTTGCCTCCCTGAGCCCGAGCATCGCTCCTAGGTTTGGTAGGGTGGCATGGATCTCTGCACGTCGTCTGTTCCAACGCGTTGATTCATGGATTCGGGTGAGGGTGTGATGCGCTCGGGTATGGCTTCGCTGTGCGCAAGGGTTGGGCTTTGTTTCTGCTGGACCTATGGTTGTGGGTCCTTAGCTTCATCGGTGGTGACGATCTGGGGGTTGCGTGTGATGATGATGCATTTTGGTGAAGACGCACTTATGGGGATTCCTTGTTTAAGGGGGTGTGGTTCTGCCTGGGGTGTTGGATGCTGAGGACGAACGTTGAAATTCAGGCATGGAGATCTCTTTCGCCCTTGTGTTTATCCCGTTGTGTGGCTGCGTAGGTGTTGACATGCCTAAGAGAGATCGTGGAGCTTAGTACTATGGCCCCTTGCGGCCGGAGGTGGTGTTCGTCGTTCATTGTCTGGAGTATTGGGTTGGTGTGTTCTCCTCGGATGGTATTTGAACGATTATGGCTTGGTATATTTCTGCTTGGAGTACTGAGGAGTTGCTGTAGCGGTGTGTCTTCTGGCGGTGGGCGCTTCTTCGGATTCGGATTCGATGTATGGGGTACTTGCGTGATTCCTACAGGAGAGGGGTGGTGTGGCCGGGAGACTGATAGCCTACTCCGGAGTATGTGTAGGGGTGATGATGAACCCGTTGGTTTCTTTTCGAGGAGTAGACATCGGACTACGCATATGCTATAGCGGGAGTGTGCTTATTAGTAGGATGGTGGTAAAGTATGCGCGGTGCTTCTTTCGGTTTTAGCTCTGATGATGGCTGGAGGTCCGGAGGCTTGGTGAGCCCTCATTTGGAGTAATTGCTGGCATCCGAGTGTTTTCAATGTTAATGATTTTCGAGTTGTATTTGGTTATGTTCACCCTGGTTACGTTTTGCTGTTTATGCAATTGCTGGCTTATGGTGGTTGAAGGGTCTATCCATTGGGACTGTGGTCCTTCTGATGGATCTGTTTGGTTTTTGATGGATGGTCTGGTGTTCTCCCCTGGTGATGACCTTTGTTCAACCGTCGTGGTAATCCGGATGGATTTGGGGTGTCGTTTTTCTGTGTATACCTATTGCTAGGAGGTGTGGTTTGGGTGCATTTCTGTCTTGTGAACATTCCGCAGTTTGGCTATGGGACGTGTACTGCCTTTGATTATTTTGAAGTCAATCTTCCACCATCATTTGTTGGCGATCTCCTGGTTGTAATGCAAAACTTTCTTGAGTGTTGTTCATGAGGACGCGAATCAGGATGCAGCGTGTTGTGGCTTTGTCACATGAGCCTCGGAATACAAACATAACACACACACACACACACACACATGAAACGGTATTCACCAATTCGTGGTAGCTGAGGTAGATCCCAGGGCTTGATCCCTAGTTTCCCAACTTACCTGTGTACAATACCAGCGTYAACTCGAAGAGTTGAACCTGCGAACTGTAGAACCGCCAGTG